GAAGATAGACCAGTTCAAGCTAGGTGCTGGAGTCATGCCTGCAAGTTTTAAAGTACTTCACGATCCTGTTAGGAACTATGAGACTATAACTGCAGATTTTGGCGAAAGTGCTATCGGTAGAGTTGCTCCTGTGGATTCAGGCTTCTGGTGGATTATACTACTTCGTGCATACACAAAGTCTACAGGGGATACTTCTTTGGCTGAGATGCCTGAATGCCAAAGGGGTATAAGGCTGATTCTTGAATTATGTCTTTCAGAAGGTTTTGATACATTCCCAACGCTGCTGTGTGCTGATGGATGCTCTATGATTGATCGCAGAATGGTCAGTCTGATGTACTCTCCTCTCTTTATCGTTTTTACCTAGATCTGACTTATGGGTCCTGTCTTATATTCTGTTTGTTATATATGATCCTTGCATTGTATGTCAAAGACATGCTGATATCAATCAAATGTTACTTTTAGAATTGCATTATTTAACAAACGCCTGTATAGAATCTGTCAGACTTATTACATGCTTGATTTTCTATTTCTTATTACATGATGACGGTGATTTTCTATTCTTCTTCTTTTTATCGTCCTTTACTTTTCCCCTTCTCCCTTTTTCCCTTTTCATCATTTGCTGCTGTGTCTGGCTGTTAGAAATATTATTGCTCGTCGTAAATGGCAAATCACCACTTTTGACTTGGGCTAATTTAGGCTTCGAACAGGAATTCAGCTGAGATAGTCACGTCCTTTGCTAGAATAGAAGCAAATGGAAGAGCAAAGGTGTATGTTAAGAAATAGGTTTAATGTGTTCTCTCCCTGCTAAAGGGCTTTATTAGTTTCATCATCTATGGAGGTAGTCATGCTTGTTTAATCTCTTAATTGTTCGCGCGCAATTGAAGCCAAACAAGGAGGTGTAACTGATTCCTTAAGTTGCCATTCGAATATCTGCTTCAGCTTCTTAGAAGTGTCCGAATCTATCTTGATAGTAGCTAAATTATGAAACAGTTAAACCTCCTCTTACTTGATTAAGCAGTGTTCACTTTACTTCAATGAGGAGATTGCCTTTTTCTTTTATTTTTCTCCTATTTCAAGTCTTTCATCTTGTACTCCTTCCTCATATTTATCTTCTCCTCAGTTCAATGAAATTGACTATGATCATGAGTGGAAATCTCCATATCGTTTTGTACACCATGAATTTTTCAATCATTGTAGTCCAATTTCCTTTTAAATACCCACTCGCTCGATAGACTCACAGGTTTTAAAAACTTTGTTTCATATTGTTGCCAGGGTGTCTATGGTTATCCTATTGAAATACAAGCGCTTTTCTTTATGGCCTTAAGATGTGCCTTGCTTCTCCTTAAACCCGACGAAGAAGGCAGAGAGTGTTGTGATGCAATAATCAAACGCCTTCATGCTTTAAGCTTTCACATGAGAAGTTACTTTTGGCTGGACATAAAACAGCTGAATGATATATACCGTTACAAAACTGAAGAGTACTCTCACACTGCGGTAAACAAGTTTAATGTGATGCCAGATTCCCTCCCAGACTGGGTTTTTGATTTCATGCCAAGTCGTGGTGGTTACTTCATTGGAAATGTTAGTCCTGCTCACATGGACTTCCGTTGGTTTTGTTTGGGCAACTGTATTGCAATTTTGTCATCTTTGGCTACACCTGAGCAAGCTTCGGCCATAATGGATCTTGTTGAATCAAGATGGCAAGAGCTAGTAGGAGAAATGCCGCTAAAAATCTGTTATCCCGCTATGGAAGGTCATGAATGGAGGATTGTTACAGGATGTGATCCTAAAAACACTAGTTGGAGTTATCATAATGGTGGATCTTGGCCAGGTTAAATTTTCTTCTCAAGCATTCAACAACCAAAAGTACTTAAATCTATTTAAAGTTACTTTCCTATTTCACCCGTATTATGATGCACAGCTATAGAGATTGCAAGTCAACTTGTTGGGTAGCTTAACAGCTAATTAGCAAATGAATCACAACAATTTCATGCTCTCTTATGTGACTCTTTCCTTTTAGCACGTTCAAAAAGAATGACATTTTTCTATATTTAGAAACAATCTAACTTTGCACTTTCTATTTTACCCTTAATGACATGATTTTATAGTCATAAAAAATGTCATGGGATGTTTGTCAAGTTCCCAAATTGTTTCTTTCTTTCTTAAACTTCGGTCAGATGCACATACATGAACATAGGGAGTACTATTCATACTCTCCACTGTAAAGGGCAGTCTAGTCTGGTGCACAAATCCCACATTCACGTAGGATTCGGGGAAGGGCCGTACCCAAGCATTAGTGGCTGCTTCCACGGCTCGAACCCGTGACCTGTTGGTCACAAGGAGACAACTTTACTGTTGCTCCAAGGCTCCCCATTCTCGTATTTTCTACTGTGATATTTACAATTCAGTGCTATACTGATTTGTGTGGTTTCTTTGTCTAGTTCTTCTATGGCTCCTTACTGCAGCAGCTATCAAGACTGGTAGACCCCAAATAGCACGACGGGCCATTGAACTAGCTGAATCGCGATTACTAAAAGATAGCTGGCCGGAATATTATGATGGAAAGCTTGGTCGATTTATCGGAAAGCAGGCTCGTAAGTTCCAGACATGGTCCATTGCCGGTTACTTGGTAGCTAGAATGATGTTGGAAGATCCATCTCATTTGGGTATGATAGCACTTGAAGAAGATAAACAGATGAAGCCTACCATGAAAAGATCTGCTTCTTGGACCTGTTAATATCCTTGTATACAATTTCTCTACCAAACAACATGTTTTTTTTGTTTTTTTTTGGGAATTCTTAATCATTCTCTTTTAGTTTGTCTCAAAAATGTCGAATTTTCGTTGAATTGACCACGAGATTGTACACATTACTCTGTTTTCCCCCCCGGTTAATCTGGTTTTTGTCTAAGGATGTCCATTGAATGCCAAAGATGTTTGATGTTAGCTGATCTAAGGAGTTGTTAGGGAACAAAACAAATTGAAGTTCTAGTTTTATACGCTGATAATGTAAAGAATGTTTAAATAAGTGTGGACCATCAATGTCCTAGTGGCTAATATGTTATTAAGGAATTTTCGCATATTTTTTTTAAAGATTTTTATCATCTACTCCCTTCGGTCCAAAATAAGTGATTTTTTGGCCTTTTTTTATGGTCCAAAATAAGTGATCTTTTCAGATTTTAAGGATGAATTAATTATTTTTTTCCTACATTGCCCTTGGAGTAAATAGTGTTGGAGTATGTGTTAGGAGTGTTTATGTGAGATAATAAAGGTTAATATGGTCAATTTTATTGCTAATTAATGTTAAAAGGTAAATTTTTTAATTTGTGTGAAAATATCCAAAAAATTACTTATTTTGGACCGGAGGGAGTAGTGATCAAAATTTGTTCCCTTTAAATAGAAAATCAAAGATACTTTCATACGCGTCGAACTATTCAAAGTTTTCTTTTTCTTTTTCTATTAATTTTTTTTAGACTTTTTAGTTTAAAATACTTATTTTTTTTTTTTGAAAAAAGTATTAATGAACATATAGCGAAAAATGGGGTCCTCAATTTGGGGACCTATTAGTAATGAAACTTTGATTTAAGAAATATACATTATTTTTAGACGTTTTAAATGTTTGGGCAATGATGTAACACCTAAATTATCCTTTTAGACACCCATAATCAAACCATACGTCAAAGTAGGGGTGTACATATGTCGGCTTGGTTCAGATTTTACATTACCAAACCAAACCAATTGTATCGGGTTATTAAATCTAAAGACCAAACCGAACAAATAAAACTCGGGTTTTTCAATCTCGGTTTTTTCGGGTTTTCTCGATTTTTTGGGTTATTCGGGTTTTTCGGATTTTTTTCCGGTAAAATCTTCGTAGAACAAAACATATAACTCGTGCTCATATTTCTTTAATCCTAGTAAAATACAACTATATAAAGTATTTTCCAAGATAATAATACAAAATATGAGATGTGTCATGGCTTATCCTAGAATATTCAACAATAAAGACATGTAATATCAATATTGCTAATTAAAAAGCCATAATAAAAATAAACATAATCTAAAAGTACTAAGTCATGCTAAAATAAGTAGACTAATAAGGGAGTATTAATTACATGACTAAACGCTAAAGAAAAAATAAAAATAGGTTATGCATTTTTATTTAAATTATTGCAAAACAGAAAATAGATATTCAATACATTCCCGTTCGTAGTATTGAATTGAATGTCTTTTGTTGGCATTAGTATTGATTTGATTTTGGTTTGGAATTTTGTTAGCATTATTTAATTTACTAATATTAATGGCTATAAAACTTATTGGAACATTCAAAAGTTCTAAGTTCAACCTTGAAATAATACCTTAAAAGATAAAATTATGAATTTTTTTAAGAAATATTTATAAATAACATCATAATAAGTATATTTATATATTAAATATATCTAAAATTTCTATATATGTAATGTCAGGTTGGTTTGGTTTCGGTTTGACTTTCTTTAGGTAAAACCAAACCAAACCAATTATGGTCGAATTTTTTTTTCCCACTACCAAACCAAACCATAGTCGGGTTTTTTTTCTCGGTTTGACTCGGATTATCGGGTTTGTGCGGTCTATCGATTTCCTTTGTACACCCCTACGTCAAAGCATGGGTTTAACCAAAATGCACGATGCTATGTCTAAAATTTCTATGTATAGGAAAAGTTAACAGCAGGCAATAGATTATTAGGCTTTTTCTGCATTTGGTTTGGAATCTATTATTCACAGCTAATAAAAGCTGGCACAATAGTAAGACAATGACTGTAAGCAGCACATCAGAAGAGTTGTCTGTTGATTATCTATTTACAACAATATCATATTCTTTACTCATTGAAAACATCGACATATTGATGTATTAATCTTAGCTACTGGTTTCATTATTAAGTGAAGATGGATCATAGGTGTTGTGTGATTTCAGGAGTAATTCCATCTAGGACTCGTGTATGTATCTTTAGTGTAAGATATATACATGATGAAATTACATGACGTATGATCAATGAACTTTATTCACAATAATAATATAATCTAAATTTCTTTATCGTCACATTAAAGTAACTAAATTATGTGTGTTCAATTGCTCAATGATCGGAAGGTCAAATTTTCTAACATCTGTTTTATGACGCATCACTTGCTATATCAACTCTATCAAAAAAAGGTATCTTATCTTCTATAGAATATCTATTTGCTTGGGCCAAAAAAGTGATTTGGATCTATCACTACTATAGGATTACATAGGTCCTTTACGGGTTGTTTGGTATAATGGTGGGGTATTCCAAGATACAGGGTCAGGGGCGGATGTAGTATATTATCTATGAGTTCAATTGAACCTATAACTTTTGACGCGAAGTTAAAATTTTATTAATTTGCAAAAAGTATGTATGAACCCATAACTTTAAAAATATAATGGATTTAATGCTAAAAACTTTAAAAGTTGAACCCATAGAGTTTCTGGATCCGCCTCTGCCAAGATATCACATTGGTTGGAATATCCCATGGGATTATATTAGTTATCCCACCTTTTATATGAGATAGCTAATCCTACCATTTTAGTATAAAAGTTATTCTGGGATTAACTAATACCCCAAACCAAACATGTGATAAAGTAAATCCCAATTTTATCCCCTGAATATTATTCTTATCTCATGTACCAAAACGACCCGCCGCAGAGGCGAATTCAAGATTTGAAGTTTATGGGTTCTTAGCTATCTTGAGTTATATATACAATAATAAGTAGGTTTACAGTTAAAAATTTATAGCTATTTAGTAAACTTTTTAATATAAATGCAAAGTTTGAGCAAAAGCTATTGGGTTCATGGGAGCCCATAAGCTCAAAGGCTAAAACCACCCCTGGACCAGGCTAAGATTAGTTTAACTTTACACCCCCTGCCCCCATCAGCGCCTTCATGGTCCAAGAAAAAAGAAAAAAAAAGAAAATTAAAAAAAAAAAGAAAAAATGGTTAACATTTTCTGCGTTTTAAAATGCGTATATATAAGTGCTTCTTGCTCCTATCATTCTGTCATAGAAGTACTCAAAAGAAAGAGTGATCAATCTGAATAGTTTTACTAAGGCATGGACATCTCCAAGTCCAAAGCTCTTATTGTCTCACTAATCTTTCTTCTTTTTCTCTTATCTGCTGCAGAAAATCATGAGCTTAGCAGCAGTAATAATATTGATGCAATATCAAAAGCACTCAAAGCTCGTCCTAATTATACAATAAGTTTGCATTCCTTCCTTCTCTCTCATCCCATTCTTTTAATTTTATCGCTTGCTCGCTTTGTACTCCTTCCTTGAGTCAGGGTCTATCGGAAACAGCCTCTCTACCTTCAAGGTAGGGGAAAGGTCTGCTTATACACTACCGTTCCCTGACCTCACTGGTGTTATCATACTAAATTTGTTGTTGATGTTGTTATTTCCTGGCTATGTTGCTCCGACTTTCCAAAAATATTGTTGCATGCATCTGTGTCGGATCCTCAAAGTACCACTTTTAGAGGATTCGACACACACCCGACAACATTTTTAAAGAGTCCGAACAACATATATAAAAGCTAAGTTAATACGTAGTAGCTAGTACTAATATTTATGATGATTGTTTGTTGAACACAGATTGTGGAAAAGAATGTACGAGGAGGTGCAAGTTAGCATCTAGACAGAAAATGTGCATGAGAGCATGTGGGACATGTTGTGCCCGTTGCAACTGCGTGCCGCCAGGAACTTCTGGGAATGAGAATATCTGTCCATGCTATTCTACTATGACTACTCATGGCAATAGACGCAAGTGCCCTTAATTAGATATGTTTCTGTGTGCGTTTAAGAAATAAGAAAGAGTATGAGTTTAAAGGGGTTGTATGATCAAGTGAAGAGCTGCTGCTGCTACTGCATAATTTCAAATTAACTATGGATCCCCTGGTTAATTTGGTTGGTACTTGTAGAGTTGTGGTAGTTTAAAAAATAGAGAAGTTTGAATAAAAGTCATATGAGACAAGGGGGAATGGGCAAATGGTATAGAAGGAATTTCACAACCTTTTATACGAACTCCACACTATATCTGCCAACTCTATAATGTAGATATTGCTTAATTACATTGCTTTAACTTGAAAAATAGCATGAATAAATACTGAGTTTTCATCTTTGATTCTGTTAAAACCAACCCTAAGTCCACCATTAGAGAACTTCGAGCTATACGAAAGAAGCTCTGTGAGCAACAGTATAGAAGTTTTTAAAGAGAGAAAGGCAAAATTTCATTAAACGGAATATTAGAATTTGTACAAACAAGAGTATATCTAAACTAATATATCCCACTAACTAATAGCTGCCAACTAACTAATACACACACGTGCTAACTAACGAGATGGGCTATCTAGAAGAGTATACCTTAAATAGCTAACTGTACAACAACATTAACTACTTACCTCTACACTCCCCCTCAAGTTGAGAATGAAAATATTTTTCATTCTCAACTTGAATACTAGAACTGCATGTTGTCGATGCCCCAATGCTGTTGTCAGAATATCAGCTAGTTGCTCTTGAGTGGCTATGTGTGCAGTTTTTATCAACCCTTCTTGTATCTTCTCTCTGATGAAATGATAGTCAATGTCAATATGTTTTGTTCTCTCATGGTATATGGGATTTGCAGCAATCTGTAGAGTAGCTTTGTTATCACAATACAAATCTATGGGCAGCTTGACATTCATTCCTAGCTCTTTCATCAACCCATTCAACCATATTAGCTCAACTACAGTTTGTTCCATGCTTCTATATTCTGCTTCAGCTGAACTTGTGGATATGGTGCTTTGTTTCTTGGCTTTCCATGAGATAAGTGAGGTTCCCAGATTAACACAAAATCATGTAATTGATTTCCTGGACATTGGGCAAGATGCCCAATCAGAATCACAGAATGCTTCTATATTTTCTTGACCTCTGCTTGACATTAACAACCTAAGACCCGACTATTTTTTAATGTACTTCACTATATGCGAAGCTGCTTCATAGTGAGATGTCTTTGGTGCATGCATGAATTGACTCAAGCATTGTACTGCATATGCAATGTCTGGCCAAGTTATGGTCAAGTATAATAACTTGCCAATGAGTCTCTGAAAGTTGGTTTTGTCCTTCAATGGCTCATCAGTAACAATTCTCTGCACATACTCATCATATTCCGTACTTGTTAACTTCAGTTTTTGTTCCATAGGGGTGTCCTTAGGCTTTGAACCTGATAGTCCTGCTTCTAATATCATCTCTAGAGCATACTTCCTCTGAGATATTAGGATGCCTTCTTCAGACCTAGCAAAATTCCATTTCTAGAAAGTAGCTAAGCTCTCCAAGATCTTTCAGTTTGAAGCTTTTATGTAAGACACTTTTAGCTTGATGTATCTCTGCCAAGTCATTACCCGTGACAAGTAAAACACCCACATAGATAAGAATAAATACAAACTTGTTGTTAGTAGTCTTAGTGAATAGGGGATAATCATGTCTGCTCTGCTGAAAACCAGATGATAGCAAGGCTTGTGTCAGCTTCACATTCCATTGTCTGGAGGCCTGTTACAAGCCATATAGAGATTTGAGTAGTCTACATACCTTATGCTTCCCATGACTACCAAATCTCTGAGGAAGAGTCATGTAAACCTCCTCAGCAAGATCACCATTCAGAAAAGCATTATGGACATTCATTTGATACATAGGCCAGTGCCTAAAGGCAGCAATGACTATACAGTCCTTACTATCGTTATCTTGGCCACAGGGGAAAAGGTATCATGGACGTCAATGCCTTCTTGTTGTGTATACCCCTTTGCAACTACTCTAGCTTTTAACCTTTCCATAGAGCCATCAACATTATACTTGATTTTGTAGACCCATTTGTAGTCCATGGGCACCTTACCAGGTGGGAAATCAACCACATCCCAAGTATGATTTTCTTTTAAAGCTTTAATCTCAAGGTTCATAGCCTTAATCCACTTATCATTTTTAATGGTTTGAGAGTAACAAGTAGGTTCAATATCAAACAGAGAAAGAAGCAAGAAAGTACTGAAAATGAGCAGGAAGATGAAAGTAGGAAGCAAAATGGTGAATAGGATAAAGGCAGGAAGTAAAGGCTGAAGGTAAAAGAGAATGAATGTAATCAGTCAGCCAAATAGAAGGCTTAAGTGTTCTACCAAATTTTCTGGGTAGCAAAGAATCAGTAGGTGAATCAGATGGACCAGGTGTAACAGTAGAAGAAGGAGAAGAAGTAGGATTATGAAGTGGAGCAGGTGAACTAATAGATGGACACTAAGTGATAGGATCAACAGGAGGTGAAGGAATGTAATTGAAAATGAGATTATGGTCATTTGTAGGAAATGACAGAGGATCAGAAATAAGGAAAAAAGAAAGAAGGGAATAGAAGATGAATTAGGAGCAACAAGAAATTTACTCATGAGATGTTTTAAAGGATAAACATTTACTTTAAAGATAACATCCTTGCTAACTATAAATTTGTTAGCTTCAATATCATATATTTTATATCATTTTTGAGTAGTAGTATAGCCCATAAAAACATTAGGGACAGATTTAGGAGTGAATTTATCATGAAAATCTAGTTTTTTGGCAAGCAAAGACATCCTAGAGTTCTGATGTGAGCAAGGATAGTGGGTTTACCATGAAGGATCTCATGAGGTGATTTTCTATGTAGGACAACACTTGGTAATCTATTAATTATATAGGTGGCAGCAAGAATGCAATCCCCCTAGAACCTCAAGGGTATGTTAGCCTAAAATCTTAAGGCTCTTCCTACTTCTAGGATATGTTTGTGTTTCCTCTCCACAACACCATTCTGTTGAGGAGTATGGACACAACTGCTTTGATGAATAATCCCCTTAGCTTTGAAAGAGTAGAACATAGGGTATTAAAAAACTCATGACCATTATCTGATCTAAAAGTGATCACGCCCAACTATGCCTTATGAAAAGGACTAAGCGATCGTTGCAATTATAATATAGTCTAAGAGTTCGAAGTTGAATCCCACAGAGAACTAAGGTTTAGCTACAATTATTTACTATCACTAAGATGACAAGCTCAAACAATTTCTATGTTATAAATATTAAGATTCTTATGTTTAACTAATTAAATAATAAATTAAATCAATATATTAACAACAAAGATACTATGGGTTGGAGAAAAGATTAAGGAGGTCTGGAGTCATGATTTCCCCAATTGTCGGAATCCTTTCCCCTATGTCTTTTATATTTTTTCCTAAGTATTCTCTGTTGATACCCAATTTTTTCCATATATATTTTTGAAAATACATATATACTTTCAAAATAGTGCATGAGCATCAACCAGTATTTTTCCATAATTTTAATTAATTATTCCAGCATTTTATTATCTAAATAATTACTAATTGCATCAAAAATAATTTTATAATGATTTATTACTTGATTTTTATCATTTATATTTATATTAAGCTTTAATCATTTTATGCCTAATTATATTTGTATCTTTAGGCTATAATTGCAATAACTTTGCAATAATAGCCCATATATGCATAATTAGATTATTTACGCGGAAAATAATTTTTTTATATTTTTATAATGTTAAGTAATTATTTTAAATTATTTTCATATACAAATAACATTTTTATCATTTATTAATTATTTTTATAAATTATTTTATTAATTTAAGTGGGTATTTAAAATAGCCCTTTTATTAATTTTTTTTCGGACCTACCCAATAGCCCAATACCCTATCAACCCAATAACCGAATAACCCAATACCTAATACCCAATACCCTAACCCAACTACCCAATACCCATACCCATCTAGTTAAACCCGCCCCACCTAAATATCTAATCCTGGCCGTTGATCTCAGAAGATCAATGACCCTAAATTCCCCAACCCCTTTTAATATATCAAAACCCCCAAACCCTATTTCATTTCCCCCAACCCGCCGTCCTTGGATACTTTCCTCTCCTCTCTCTCACCCCCTCAAACCATAGCCCCGCCGTCACCCTTTTCCCTTTAATTCATGGAATCTCTTCTTGATTCCCTGCCTTATTTGGCTTTGTCTCTCTACTGGTTACTCGACCTTGATGTTACTTGATTCATTTGCCTCAAATGACAAGTGAATCTCAAGAGACTCAAACTAGTTTTGGTTCAAAGTCTCTCATACTTTGATGATTCCGTCTATGTTCATCCTAATACCTGTGAGTACGAATATTTTCGTATTTTAGGGTTTTAAATCTCTGGTTCAAACCAGATTTGGATCAACTTCTGTTTATTTTTTATAAATCTGGCTATTTTTTGGTCGAATCTGTTTAGATCGTTTTTAGATTTGGAATGATTTTATGTTTGTTTTGGTATTTCTCATTTAAAATTTCAGTACTTTTATTTCTATATTTTATAGTCTTTTATTATTATTGATCGATTTTATTTACCCTAAAAACTAGGGTTTTGGTTCAACAGATTTTTGCAAAAATGTTTTAACCCTTAAATATTTTCGTCTTTGGGTATCTGTTAGGATTTCCTCATTTATTTTGACTGATTTTACTAGGTGTCTTTGTATTTCTTAGGATTTCAATTATTTGACCATTCATTGTACTATTTCTGCCCGTTTGCCTTAAACTCCGTCGATTAATTGTTAATTAATTTCACTTACCTAAATTAGTGTTTGAAATTGGGATTTCCTTTAGTACCAGTGTTTCTTTATTGGATTTTACCCGTTCTTACCTTATTTAGACTAATGTGTGATTAATAATTGGTGCTATTGGCATAATTTTATGCTTTGGTTATTAGAGCCGACTCCTAATTGATTTTGGAGTTTGTTCTTACCTTATTTAACCTAATACTTAATTACTAATTGATTTCGTATAAGGTTTTCCTTAAATCAAGTAGTACTAACCTGACTTTACTCGATTTTGTCTTGTTAATTGATTCATGCTGGCCTTAATTGATTTTCATACCTTATTTGTGTATGACTGGTTCCTTACCTTATTAGTTTACTTCATTGTGTGCTATTTAACCCCCTTCCTCACTCCCTTTAGAACACAACCTTTCAACGGAACAACTTTTCCACACTCGAACTCTCCTATTCTCACTACATAACTTATGCTCTCTCTCTTGCTCCTGTTCTGATTTCTGTGTTAAATGGCTATTATTT